AACCCAGAGAGGATAGAAAAGCAGCTTCATGTCAGAGAATATCTTCATATTTTTATTTCAAAACAATAAAAACAAAACTTCAACACAGAAAAACTGAAATGTTTGTGCAAAAAAACATCTTTCATTCTAAAGTAAAAACCTCTAAATGTTTGAGAGGCTTTAAAACATTTAGAAAACATTTGATGTCTTTCCAAATGAGTGTGTTCTGTTGAAGAGCTCACTTGAACGATGGGAACCGGACCGGTTCGTTCCAAAAGTCCCTCCAGGCGAGTCCGGAGGCCGGGAAGTGCTGCTGGTAGCGGGGGGGCAGAGCGGCGGGGGGAGGGAAGGGGACAGGGAACGGCAGCGGAGGGGAGGAAGAGCTGCCGGCTTTCTCCGGCTCCAGTAAACAGGTGCGAAACGGCTTCCCGTCCCGGACCAGGATCGGAACCACGACCCTGCGCAGCAGCAGTGGGGGCTGCGGCACGTCCGGGTCCAGCAGCGCGCCCTCCGCCCGGCCCCTTTTCATCTTGTAGCGGTGGTTCTGGAACCAGATCTTGACTTGGGTCGGGGTGAGGCTGAGGATCCGGGCCAGCTGCTCCCGCTCCGGACCGGACAGGTAGCGCTGCAAGCGGAAGCGCCTCTCCAGCTCCAGGGTCTGCGCCTTGGAGAACAGGACGCGGCGCTTCTTGCTCTTCCTGCTCCTCTCGGGTTCCGAGTTCAGGGGGCACTGGTCCGGCTCGGTGGGGTCTGGGCAGGGCTCCGGGTGTCCCTCATCACAAGCTGCAGAAATAAACYTGGAGAGAATTAAAAACTGTTTGTCTCTGCACCAACTTTAACCTGAGTTTCTCTGCCGGGAGGTTGCACTCACACACGCAGGGGCTCCGGTCGCAGTGGGTCCAGTAGGGTGGGCTGGAGGAGCAGGTGGAGTACACCGGAGAGGAGCGCGGCGCCGCCTCCACCTCCTGCTCAGGCAGGTCCAGGATGCTCCGGACCGAAAAACTGAACCTGCTCGGTGCTGCCATCCCTTTATTTCAACCCGAACCGGGTTTGTTTGGACATTTAAAAAAACAGACCACGAAATGAAGCTTATTCGGAACCAGAATCCCCTCCTTTCTCCCAGTGAATCCACTTTACGCGCTCTCCAAACAGGGATGCGTGTTTACACAAACACCACTCCAGGACGCGCGCTTTTAAAGACCCCTCCTCCGCTGAGTACCTGGGTGAGTGCGGCTCAGTGAGGGTGGGGTGTGGACCTAAAGGAGAAGAAGAAAAAAAGCCAACAAAGAGCCGAGGAAACACTCGTCATCGGTCCAGCTTCGTCCCGTAGCGTCAGATAATGGGGATTGTTGGAGCTGAATCACGTCTTGGGTGGCAACTGACAACAGAGGCTGTCCCATCATCAAACTGACCCCCCACCCCACACACCCCCCAGTCCCGGCTCTTCACCGACACCCCACCCAGCCCTCCCTCTCATGTCCAAACAACGTGTCCAATATTTACATACAAAGTGAGCAATTAGCGTGATGGTTTAACTAATGGGTCTCTAATGTGTCAGAGGGGTGTGTGTGTGTGATGGATGAAAAAGGAGAACAGTTTTGTGAAACTCCTTTAGGACATTATGAAACAGTGTAATAAGTTATTTTGATGTTTGGTTTAAGACATTTTTGACATTTTTAAAAATGTGTCCTTTTTAAACCCACTGTTTAAATATCAGGTAAACAAATCTTGTTTTTTTTCTACACCTTATGTGTTGTTCTTAATGCATCATGTGATGTCTTGACAGAAGTTGTAAATATTTCATCTAAACCTCAGACCAGCTGATTGACTGATAGCTGATTCAGCATTTACA